TAGAAATATCTTTTGTCTAGACTAATGTCTAGACTATGAACTTGTCTATTGTCTAAAAAATTCAAAATTGTTAAGCCCTTTAAAGCTTTATATAATTATAAAAAAACATTGTAAAATATTCTTAAATAAATTAATAAAATTATAAGAAATATTTAAAATCTTTAAACGCTTTTTATAAAATACAAAGTTATAAAATTATTCTCAATATTTAGCCCAATTTCAGACAAAGCTTTAATGGAGACTTCTTGAAATTTGTTACTTTTTTAAATGTCACTTTAAGCTTGCTATTTTCCAGCAACAAGAAGACTTCCTAACAGTTCCTAGAGGCCTCAGGAAAAGTAAGTCGAACATCAGTATATAAAGCTTTATAATGTATAAAGCTTTATAGCATATCAAGCTTAAAGTTAGCTATAGCTTAAAGCTTGTTCTTTTTTTTTACTTTTAATATAATGTATTTTCTAAACATTCTGATCAGATCAATTAAACATTTTTATTTCAAATTTTTTACAATTCGAATTTTCAGAATAATATCAATTTACAAGTGATAGGATGGAAATCCTTTTGGAATCTGCTATCCCTAGACTAGTTGACAGATTACTGAAGAGACTGGTCTACAAACTAGCTTATTGACTAGTTCATATACTAGTATATAAACAAGTCCATAGATTGGTCAATAGACTAGCAAACTATGGACCATAGACTTGTCCATAGATAGCCAATAGACTAGTCAAAATAATTGTGCATAGACTACTCAATATAATGGTCAAATACTAATGCATAGACTGATTAATAATCTAGTCCACAGAATAGTTCGTCAAAAGACCGATTAATTGACTTATCTATAGATTGTCTAGACTTCTCAATAGAATAGTTCAAATTCGATTACATAGAATATTCCATAGAATGGTCGGTATACTAGTCCATTAAATAGGTCATATACAAGTCAATAGTCTACCTGTAGAATAGCCAATAGACCGATCAATGGATTAGTACATAGACTAGTCAATAGATTAGTTCATAGAATAGTCAACAGATTAGTTCATAGACTAGTCAATAGAATAGTCCATAGACTAGTCAATAGACTGATCAATCGACTAGGCCATAGTCAATATACTAATCAATGAACTGATCGATAGATTAGACCATAGACTAGTCAATAGATTAATCCATAGAATAGAAAATAGACTGGTCCATAGAATAGTCCATAGACTAGTCCATAGAATAGTCCGTAGACTAGTCCATAGACTAGTACAAGGACTAGCCTATTTAGTATATATGCTAGTCCATAGACTAGTATATACGCTAGTTCATAGACTAGTATATAGGCTAGTCCATAACCTAGTCAATAGATTAATCCATAGAGTATAAAATAGACCGGTCCATAGAATAGTCCTTAGACTAGTCCATAGGCTAGTTCATAGACTTGTCCATAGAGTATCCAATAGACTAGTCATTATGTTAGTCCATAGAATAGTCCATATAATAGTTTATAGAATGGTCAATAGACTAGTTCACAGAATAGTCCACAGACTAGTTCATTAACTTGTTCATAGAATAGTCCATAGACTAGTCAATAGACTAGTCCATAGTCAATATAGTAATCAATAGACTGATCAATAGAATAGTCTTTAGACTAGTCCATAGACTAGTAAATAGGCTAGTGCATAGAGTAATCAATAGACTAGTCCTTGGGCTAATCCATAGAATAGTTCATCTACTAGTCCATAGAATAGTCCATAGAATATTTCATAGAATGGTGCATAGACTAGTTCATTGACTAGTCCATAGAATAGTCCTTAGACCAATTAAAAGACTAGTCCACAGACTATTTCATTGACTAGTCAATTGACAAGTCCACAGTCTTGTTCATAGACTAGTCCATAGATTATTTTTTTCCAAATAATTTTCGATAGTTTACTCTTAATGTAGGAAGTTCGAGACCGATTAAGGGCCGCCGATGACCCCTAAAAGATTTCTGATTGTTTTAAAACGATTTTGCATAAATTTTAATAAACTTGAACTGAATGTAAATGTGCAATATAATTGTGTCAAATCAAAATTTCAAAGATTTTGAAGCAGTATTATATAGGGATTATTAAAAGGTGAATGTGTTTCCTATAACTTTGACTAAATCTCGTTGAATACTGTTAAATACTTAAACATGAGAAACAGATGCCTTCCTTGTTCCTTTTGATATAATTGTTATATTATTTGCAAAGTTTTACTAGTACATATATCCAAATTAAACCTGTAAATCTGCCAGGTATAGGAGCAAAACAAATGTCTGTAAGATGTGTTGTTTAAAAAGGATATTTATAGAAAAAGGTTATGTGTGTTAGTTAAAGATTAGCATTTTTCTCTTACCTGAAGAATTTCTATATAAATTTCTACGGAAACTCACAGTTAAAGACACACAAACAGTAATTAAGGTTTTTCAGACTCAAGTATTTTCCATAAAAGACTTCGAACATTGTTGAGTATATAGATAGAGGCCTCTGTTGATAACAGGTAAGCCGCTAAATAAAGTTGTCAAATATGTCGGCTATTAAGGAATTCCCCGTGCGATAATTAGCGGCTACATTACAAATTTCATAAAGTTAAGATATCTTAAAGAGTTGCCTACTATTACAGTTTTAGCCGCTAATTTAAGAATATGTCTTCTAAAGAATATGTGTAAATATTATTTAAAAAAAATATAATTTTTTTATAGTTTAACTAAATTCAAATAAAATTTGTAAAATTAGGAAATCAGTTAAATATAATTATTTTTAATTCTAAAGAAAATAAAACAAATATAATATAAAAGTAAATAAATAATATTTGTTAAGTTTGAAATTCAGAATTTAAAGAAAATATTAAAAATATATAAAGCTTTCTTTAAATAAAAACAACAACTAAAACACTGATAATTAAATATTAAAAAAAAAATTATCTTAAATATTGTTAAATTAAATATAAAACAAATAAAAAACTATTATTAAGACTAATAAAGCCTAAATATAAAGAAAAGAAAGAAAAAAATAAATGAAATAAATAAATTATTTAAAATTGAAAATATAACGTTTTTCATAAAAGTGTTGATTTTTTTTAATAACTCTTGTGTATAATTTGGATTTTAAATAAAAATGTGTAAACTAAAGGTAAGTGTTAATTTTCGAAAAAAAAACAGCAAACACGGCAGCACAGCATTTTTGGTAAAAAAGCATTTCCTGATTTTGATTTTGAAAATCGCAGCTATAAAAATGAGCACAGATGGAGAAATTCCGGATTAAACTGACAACTTAAATATACAGCTAAATTAATACTACTGAAGAAATATTATTGATCTTCAAATTTTATTTTGACTTAATTTACCGAGCCATACGCCCGATATAGTGAAAATAGAAATCTGAGTCTATGGTGGGAGTCGAACTTACGACACCCAAACTGATGACTAGCACTATTCCTTAATACCTAATAGACCCTGCTTTCGTTTAAATTTCAGTAATTGATTTCTGATTTATTTCATTGAACCAAGCAATCAATTTCTTATTAGAATTTAGTGTGATTTCACTTTTTCTTTTCTTATTTAAACTTTTGTTTTTAAAGTTTATAAAGATTTTAGATTTGTTTATAAAAGATATAAACTTATGTTGACTACAGATCCAACTACATATTCCTCTGTTCTCTTTGTTCTCTTTTAATATTCTAACAAAAAATCGGTAATTGATCTCTAATTCTTCGATTTTTAAAGAAAATATCGATCTAATAGATTAATGTGTTCCAAATTATAAACTTCACTTTAAAGTTTAGACTGTGGACTAGACTCGTGAATAGTCTATGCACTAGACTATTGATTATTCTGTGGACTATACAAATGACTAATCTATGGAGTAGACTTTTGACTTGTCTATGGAGTAGACTATTGATTAGTTCATGGACTAGACAAATGACTAGTCTATGGACTAGACTATTGACCAGCCTATGGACTGAATTATTGGCTAGTCTATGGATTGTGCATTGACTAGTTTATGGAGTATATAATTGGCTTGTCTGTGGACTAGACTATGGACTTGTCTATGGAGTAGACTATTGATTAGTTCATGGACTACACTATTACCTAGTCCACGTAATAGACTACTGACTAGTCTATAGACTAGACTATTGACCAGTCCATGGACTAGACCATTACATGTATGTGGATTAGATTATCGGCAAGCCTATAGACTATTGACTAGGCTATAGATTAGACTATTGACAAGTCTATAGGCTAGACTATTGACTAGTCTATAGGCTAGACTATTGACTAGTCTATAGGCTAGACTATTGACTAGTATATAGACTAGATTATTGACTAGTCTATAGACTAGACTAATGACTAGTCTATAGACTAGACTAATGACTAGTCTATAGACTAGACTATTGACTAGTCTATAGACTAGACTATTGACTAGTCTATAGACTACACTATTGACTAGTCTATAGACTAGACTGTTGACTAGTCTATAGACTAGACTGTTGACTAGTCTATAGACTAGACTATTGACTAGTCTATAGACTAGACTGTTGACTAATCTATAGACTAGACTATTGACTAGTCTATAGACTAGACTATTGACTAGTCTATAGACTAGACTATTGACTAAACTGTTGACTACTCTATAGACTAGACTATTGACTAGTCTATAGACTAGACTATTGACTAGTCTATAGACTAGACTATTGACTAGTCTATAGACTAGACTAATGACTAGTCTATAGACTAGACTAATGACTAGTCTATAGAAAAGAATATTGACTACTCTATAGACTAGACTAGACTACTGACCGCTATGGACTAGTCAAAATCAAATTTCTAATAGAATTTTTAGTTAAATTTGGATTATTGAGTAGTCTATGGACTCCACTAGTGGACTATTAACTAGACTATTTAAGGACTAGGCTATTGTCTAGTCTATGGACTAGATTATTGTCTTGACTATTGACTAGTCTATGGACTACATTATCAAATATCTACTAGATTTTTTAGTTAAATTTTCAAAAATTTTATTTAGTTCTTTTAACATAAAAAAAATATTCAAACGAAACAATTAAAAAAGCTGATAACTTCAACTATTGACTCATGTTCAAAACAGACATATCGGCACTTGAGTCTGCTATGTGGTAGGAAGTATCTTCGACAACATCTAAATCATCATCACAATACATTTTGCGCATGCGCTCTTTGTAACTAAAAGTAAAAACAAAGTAAAATTATTATTATTAATATTTCTTCTTCAATAACATTCTTTTTTAGAAAAAGATAACGAAATGTAGTAAATGCATTATTGGATACTAATCCCTTTGGTTTTTAACTAAAATATTGTTTTTTTCTACTTACACTTCACTGTCTGGATTATTTTCTTGATTGCGGCATTTTTCCAATTTCTTTTCAATAGCTTTCACCTTATCTCTGGGAGGTATTTCATATTGTTTAACCATTAAACGTATTTCTAGATAAAAGTTATTTAAAGAAAATTAAAACAAATTCTTTTAAGTTAAAAACTAATAAATAAAAGAAAAAACTTACTACGTATGGCCTCAATTAAAGCGGGCAGCTTTTCTCTGGCACCATTTAACAAATTATCTGTAACATAGCTATCCAGATTTTCCTGCTCACGACCAGCAGCATGTAAAATGGCAGCCAATGCAATCTGTGAGGGAGCATATAACAGGCAGGCATCGGTAAAAAAGGTTTTCTCAATAAAACTATCAATGTGAGGACGCAAGCGTTCTGGATTAGCCATATTACTGCGGGTCTAAATAAAAAATGAATGATAATTATACAAATACATATAATGAATGTATAACACTTACCTTAATATCTATTAAAAAACCCTCTATGGGACGATAGGGATTATGCACTGTTAGATAGTAATTTAAATGTTGCATTAACAACAATTCATTAGATAAAATAATATCCATAGCTTTGTTACGATCACCCTTTATGTTGCTAACGAATTGGCCTATCGATACATTAAATTCCTCCACTTTGCAAGCCAAATAAACCACTGTAGCTCTAAGCAAATACAAAAACAATTTATAGCATAACTCTCTTTTGTTTCTTTAACACAAAACTTACAAAATCTCTTTGGGATGATAATCCATGGTGGAGTTGTGTAAGTAGAATCTTTTAAAGTAATGGAATGCAGTGCCTACCACACATTTTGGCATCATGGGCTCAAAACGCCGGCAAAAATCATTTAAATAAATTTCATATTGTTTAATTAGTAAACGTTCTTCTGAGGCATCTAAAAAATACTCCAAACGTTGCTCTTCCTAATGGAAAATATTTTTTTATGTAAAAAAATAACTTCTGTTTAAAAAATATGTTTTTTTTTTTAAACTCACATCGATTTCTTGACCATGAGTTTCTATAAATTTTTGATTTTGTTTTTGTCTCAATTCATTCAACTGATCCATGCTGCTAAAGGTCCAAAATTTTTTCTGTGAACTTAAGGGATACATGTTTTTGGTTCTTTGTAGTTTTATAATTTTTATTTAAAAATTCGCAAAATTTGCGTGAAAAGATTAATTTTGCACAAAAATTCGTTTGTTTACATTTATTTTAAATAATTGTGAAGTTGGCTGCAGTTGATAGAATTTGCCAAAAGTGTTGTCAACACACGATGTTGTCACACAAATTTGTGTTTATGAATGTTAATATTATAATGAAATAAAACTTTATTTATTTTGTTTTCAAATTATTGCAAAACAAAACATATATAAAAATGTTGGTTTTATATTTTGTATATGTTGGAATTAAATTCTCTGTCGAATAAACGAAAGTCTGTCGACTTTTAAATAAAGGTTTAATATAGTTTTATTAAAATTTATGATACTTTATATTAAAACCCCGATATTATTGATAAATTTTGAGGACAGATTCGGATCTAGCTCTGCTTAATCATATACGGTGTCTAGGTTTAAAATTTTTGTTGATATAATTATGATTTCCACAAAAACTCAAGCTAAACATTGTTTGGTCGAATTTTTTTTATAATTTTTTATATTTTTAAATATAGACTCAATACCCTGTTCTTTGATATGTCTTGCTTGCCTTTTTCACATGTAAAATAAACTGAGAATTGATAAATAATTCATTATTCAATAAAAATTCTCAAAGAAAAAACGCTAATTTCCACACAACTATTGACATTACTTTTTTTACAAGCAACCGTATAGCTAAAACAGAGTTGTTATTCTTCAATCATTCATAATTGTATTGTTGTTGTATACGATTGACAAGCATACTGTATAAAATACAACTCTGTGTTTTTATTATTTTTTCGATGTCGAAATTATGAAATGCAAAACATTGTTAAATTCCAAAGATTTTTCTTTAATTTCTCTAAATACACAAAAGCTCATGTAAAACTTTAATATTTTTTAAATAATTTAAAAAATTCCCTACATTTTCGTATATTTGACATAGGAAATCATTTGTTGTTATCATTAATATAGGGTGTGTAAATATTTTCTATGAATTTTGTTAGTTTATACAACTCCGAAAATTTTTGTTTTGTCATTGTACGATTGTGAACATTCGTTCGTTTTTCTACTGTATATATGGCCGCCATTACACACAGTGAAAAACGTGTCCCTGTGAAAAACTCGTGTCGTTGCACAATAAAATAAAGAATTTTTACGCAAAATTCATAGAAAATTTAAAGAAATTTGTGAAAATCATTGCAATTGAATGTTTTGCATATAATTTTATTATAAAATAATGAAATAAAAAGTGAATTAAATGGAAAATTGAATGTGAAAAAAGTATGAATTCATATGAGAACAATCGATTTTTTCGATGAAAAAAATTTTTTTCTATCGTTCGTTGTCTTTTAGGTAGAAGAAAAAAAAAACGAATGAAATCGTGAAATAAATAATAACTCTCTCGCTCTGGCATTAAGCCTGACAGGGGAAGAATAGAAAGAGTAGAAAATATAGTGAAGTTTTGTGCTAAGAAGAAGCATTTTAGGTAAAAGAAGAAGAAATGCGCGCGCCTTTTAGTAAAAATGTGTAAAAGTGTGTGTGAGTGCAAAAAAAAAAAGAATTTTCGGAGTAATGAAAGAGTGAATACATTATATACTAGCACCAAAGGCAATTTGCCTTAGAGAGAAGAGTGGTACAGCAGATGTTCGAAAATTCGGTGTTAGAGCGAGATGTGTGTATCTGTTAGCTGTTTCATGTTTGTTGTCTTTGTTTTTTTTAACGAAGTTATTAGTTCGTATTTGGCCGCCATTACGGCGTATAACAACCACGCTATCTGCGAAAAAGCAAACATTTAGAAGTTATTTTGTTAAATTTCCCTAAAAATATTGTAAATATTTAATGAAAAGTTTGTTAAAATGTAATAAAAATTTAAATTAAATTAATTTTGTGTAAGAATTGTTGAATTAATTGAGTTTTTTACCAGAAATTAATGTAAACATTTTTGCATTGTGTTTTTTATATGCAAAAAAAAGTGACCAAGAAAAAAATTTTAATTCGCCGCAAAAATATTGTTTGTGTCATTTCGCCTTCATTGAAAAGTTTTTGTTTACTTACTGTTTTTAAAACACGAAATTAGTGCTTTTGTTGTAAACATAAAATATATTTAAAAATAAATGAAAACAAAGAAAAAATATTTTGTAACAAAGTGAAAATAAATAAATTAAATATTTATATTTTATATAGTGCTAAATGATTTAATATAAAACCCGCCATTTCTTACTCTCAGTTTCTTTTGCACTCTCTTTTTGTTGCTCTACCCCCTTGTTTATATAAATGCATTTTCATGTTGTTTTTGTTGTATTGTTTGTGTGCATTTTTTGATTATTTTTTTTTTTTTACTTTTTGACAGATAATAGCGTGGCAAGTTGTCATTAATAGAAAAGAAACAAAGTGAATTCGCCTTTAAATCTGAAAAGAATAAATTACCCTGCTCGGAAAAATGTTATTCTAAAAGAAAACAAACGCATTAAGAAATAAATAAAAAAAGAGCAAACATACATAAATAAAAAGAATAAATTTTGTTTGAAAATATAAAGAAAAAAAGCAAATAAAATTACAAAAATCAATTGTGTAAAAGAAAAGAAATAAAAATAAAATATTGCAATTTAACAAAAGGAAATAAAAGTAAATCGGTATCATGTTTTCAACAAAAAATGCAGTTTAATGTTGCAAATATTCAACTGCCATTGCTGCTGCTGCCGTTGTTGCTGTTGTTCTCAGTTTGAAACGAAAATATGAAATGTATACAAATGCTGTTGTTTATGATTGTAATTATGCAAATTTATTTAAGTTTTTCGATTTCAATTTGAAAAATGTCGTCGTCTCATAGCCCACACGATTTGTTATTGTTGCTTCCATTGCAAAAAAGTAGTAGTTGTAATTGTCAATACAAATTAATAAATAAAAATAATAATTATTATTATAACAACAATAATAATAACAACAATAACGTTATTTATAATAATTACAACAACATTAACAACAAGAAGCCAGAGAATATATTGTTGTGGGTCCTGGTGGTACCACTGCTGATCTCTACAACACCAACAACATCTACAAAACAAAATTCATCGCAAACAGGCCAAGATCCTGCAAAGCAAATACAAATTCAAACTTCAACGACAACTGTAAACACAGTAAATACAACTACGACGACGAGGAGTATAGACGTCCAACAATTAAAGAGCATAGAGCTCTTATTAAGAACCTTAACGGGTTCATTATTAATACAACAGATTATTTTGAAAAATCTTATTAATAAACTTCAAATACTACTACTGCTGCTACTCCACAGCGCCGTACACTTAAGCCTTTTCAAGGATTTATACTGTCTGCGTAAAGTGGGTTTAGTGTTAGATCAAACTTCTAATACACGGTGGTGGTGTAGTTTTCCCATCTCCCCCCATAAATTCACATCTAACGCCACAACAACAATACTAAAGAAAAGCAGCAGTGCTGCTCACTTTGTAAACCAACCAGAGGAGGCTTTTAAATTTAGATTGTTGTCCATAACAAAAGAGGAAACAACCTTAACTCCCAACAAATTGTCCATAAAAGGCTTTTGTCATCCATCCACAACACTGCATTGTCATCTCCAATATTTAAGGATTTTGTTACAAGGATAAACCCTCTAATTGCTATTACTCCTTAAATCCAGTATCCAGTATCATCTCTAATACAACAAAACAAAAAAGTTATCATTTAGTTCCCGTATACTATACATTTTTGTTTATATACTGAAATAAAAAGCCAAATTTAGTTTGTAAAGTATAAATAAAAAAAGGAAATAACTGCAGCATCATGTCGAAACTATCATTTAGGGCACGTGCCCTTGATCCCTCCAAACAAATGCCAATTTATTTGGCTGAGGAGTTGCCCGATTTGCCTGAGTATTCGGCCATCAATCGAGCTGTACCACAGATGCCCAGTGGTATGGAAAAAGAGGAAGAGTCGGTGAGTTTTTTAATCTTAATTATATTTGAGGAATTGTGGTTAATAAGCAAATTTAACATTAAATTTATTTATAAATATTAAATGTGAGGTTTTGCATTATTTTTATTTATTTCCTTTAATGAAATATTATTTTTAAAAGCTTTTTGCCAATTTAACGCTTTGAAAGTTATACGTTATAGTTTGAATAAAAATATTTACAATAAATTCCACTATGGAAAATGAAGAGAAAATTAGGATTAGGATTACAATATATTGTTCTTAAAACTTTTTATGACTGGCATATGTTAGGCTAATACAATCCGTTTCCAGTTTCTTGTACTTTTGTATAGTTAGGTAATTTTTTTAAAACATGGGAATCCCCTTCAATATGTCTACATTTATGATTTGAGAATACTGATTAATAAACCATATTAATGATATGTTATTGTTTATTTGATATTTAAAGTCTTTTTAATTAGTTTTCCTTTGTCTATTAATTGTTAGTTCAGTTATAGAATAAAACAATTGGGGGTATTGGAACAAAGGCATTTATCTCCATTTATTTCACGATCTTACCTTTGGATCCGAATTACCATTAAACTTCTGAAAGAATTTGTTTCAAATTTCTTTTCGAGATTCTTCTAATTCCATTTTATTTAGTAGAGTAGAGTAGAAAAACTAAAATATACATATCTTTGGAAATACATTTTTTAGAAATGGAGGGGTGTTGTTGTTGTTGTAACAGCATAAACTATACAATTTTTAAACCGGGGGTTCTGTATTTAGGTCCAAGGCAAGAAATTGGGCCACTTCAATAGGGTTAGTCCATAAATCCATTGGGCTAAGTGAAGTAGGGTGAGCTGGAATTTTGAATATGTGGTGGGTATCATGGGGACCCTATCCACATGCTGAGCATATATTGGGGACGCACGGTCTATGCGCGACCAGTAGGCGTTGAGCCTACTGCCAGGGCAACTCTTGTTTTTCGCGGCAGGTTCTTCTCTATTTCTGCTATGGGCGGTGGGCGACCTCCAAGAACGACATTCATGCGGTAACCTGAAACTGCGGCATTGATGGCGTCTCTATGAATGTCGTTCAAAGCTGCAGTATACGAATTCCGATCTAAGGGATCCTGAACATTATTTCGTATGCTCTCCCCGTGCGGTCCTTCCTGACATGCCTCGGGGAAGCATCCAACTGTGTGATGTTAAAGTTGGGATGACTCCTCCGGTGACATCCCAGGAGGAACTGTTTAGTATGCATGACATGTTCCTTAACTGGAAGGACCTTCGTTTCCTCGTATAGGTAGTGCTCTGAGGTTATTTGCATGCAGCCCGTTACAGTCCGTAGGGCAGCATTTTGGCAGCTTTGAAAGTTAGTTAGTTAGTTAGTGTAGTTAGTTAGTTAGTTAGTTAGTAGTAGTTAGTTAGTTAGTTAGTTAGTAGTTAGTAGTTAGTTAGTAGTTAGTTAGTTAGTTAGTTAGTTAGTTAGTTAGTTAGTTAGTTAGTTAGTTAGTTAGTTAGTAGTTAGTTAGTAGTTAGTTAGTTAGTTAGTTAGTTAGTTAGTTAGTTAGTTAGTTAGTTTAGTTAGTTAGTTAGTTAGTTAGTTAGTTAGTTAGTTAGTTAGTTAGTTAGTTAGTTAGTTAGTTAGTTAGTTAGTTAGTTAGTTAGTTAGTTAGTTAGTTAGTTAGTTAGTTAGTTAGTTAGTTAGTTAGTTAGTTAGTTAGTTAGTTAGTTAGTTAGTTAGTAGTTAGTTAGTTAGTTAGTTAGTTAGTTAGTAGTTAGTTAGTTAGTTAGTTAGTTAGTTAGTTAGTTAGTTAGTTAGTTAGTTAGTTAGTTAGTTAGTTAGTTAGTTAGTTAGTTAGTTAGTTAGTTAGTTAGTTAGTTAGTTAGTTAGTTAGTTAGTTAGTTAGTTAGTTAGTTAGTTAGTTAGTTAGTTAGTTAGTTAGTTAGTTAGTTAGTTAGTTAGTTAGTTAGTTAGTTAGTTAGTTAGTTAGTTAGTTAGTTAGTTAGTTAGTTAGTTAGTTAGTTAGTTAGTTAGTTAGTTAGTTAGTTAGTTAGTTAGTTAGTTAGTTAGTTAGTTAGTTAGTTAGTTAGTTAGTAGTTAGTTAGTTAGTTAGTTAGTTAGTTAGTTAGTTAGTTAGTTAGTTAGTTAGTTAGTTGTTTGTTAATTAGTTAGTTAGTTAGTGAAGTTAAAGAAGTCTGTTTGATAGATTATATTTTAGACTCTTTTCTATCCATAGACAAGTCAATATACTAGTATATAGACCAGTCGACTAGTCAATCGACTAAAAAGAATAGAAATAGAACAGAACAGTTAATACATTAGTCAATGAAGTAGTTCAAACGTTAGAGTCATCGTCTGAAAACTTCAGACTGTTTATCTAAGATATTAAAAAGTCCCTATAATAGTTAATAGTCTTGAACAAAGATTTGGACTAGTACATTAAATTGAGTTCATCAAATAATATTTAAAATATATAAATTTTTAGGAGCATCATTTGCAAAGAGCAATATGTACGGGTCTTATTATACCAACGCCAGAAGTCTATACCACCGAACAAGATTTCTATGATAGAAATTATCCACCCAATTATCGTATGCCGCGACAATTGATACATATGCAACGTAAGTTATACACACTCTCTCACTCACCTAAACAGAAAATTTTTACATTTAAATAAATGTTTATTTTATAATTTAGCGCTTGGTTTAGAACAAGATGTACCCGAATATGATATGGATAGTGAAGATGAGTTGTGGATAAATCAACAACGAAAACGTCTCGATCTAACACCATTAAAATTCGAACAAATGATGGACCGTTTAGAGAAGAGTTCGGGCCAGACAGTGGTTACACTAAATGAGGCAAAAGCGCTGCTCAAACAGGACGATGAGATCAGCATAGCCGTGTACGACTACTGGCTGAACAAACGTCTGAAAATGGTAAACAATTGGCCTTCATTTGTTTTTAGTTTTCTTTCTCTGCTCCTATTTTCTTTATTATCAATGAATAAATATAAGAAATTATTAAAAATTTCGTAATTTTTTTCAAAAAAACGCTTAAAACAACAACAACAACTACTACAGCAACATCCATTGATATTGTCCGTTAAAACCGAGAATCGACCGGGAGCCTCATCAAATAATCCGTACTTAGCTTTTCGTAGACGCACCGAAAAAATGCAAACGCGAAAGAATCGTAAAAATGATGAGACTTCCTATGAGAAGATGCTCAAGTTGAGGTAAATAGAATTTAATTTAAAAGTTTAAAGGATAATTAATTATTTAATGTAACTTTCTAGGCGAGATTTACAGAGAGCCACAACGGTTTTAGAGATGGTTAAGAGACGTGAAAAAACTAAGCGTGAACAACTGCATTTGTCCATAGAAATCTTTGAGAAGCGTGTGCAACTTAAAGACTTTAGCGGAGCTTTACTTTCAGAGCTCAGTGCAACACTTAAAAATGCTAGGTATGTATTAAGGTTACTTTTTCGCAAGGAATAGTTAATTAATTGTTTCATATTTGTATATTATTTACAGACCTGCCTTTGCTCCATTGTATGCTAATCAATACTCGCATCATTCATCCTCTTCGGGGGCTACCCCCACTGCTGTGGTACCAAGTGTGGCATCCTCGGCAGGCGGTTTAAATAATGTAATGGGTACGACAAATTTACTTACACCAGGTTCCGCAGGTAATGTAACAACTCCAGGTGGTCATTTGTATTCATCAGCATCGCCGTTCCTGAATTCAGCGAATCTTGCTATGGGTATAGAACACCTTCAAAATACACTTTATATTTTACATTTCATTTCTTCTTTTCTTAATCGTTTTTCTTGTGGTATTAAACTTTTTTTTTCTTTTTCCCTTAAAAAAAGCAGATGGAATAAACTCGGGTAGTCGCAAAGAGAAACGACAGTATAAGAAACGCAAGCATAAAGTACCGCGTGATAAGCAACAGCTGCATCAACAGCAACAACAACAACAACACTTACAACAGCAACAACAGTATTTAGCGGGCATTGGTGTTATACCAACGTCCGCAGCAACGGGAGCTGCTTTAGGTGGTAATGTTGCTGGTGGTGTTGGTGGTCTGACTGGTACCGCTGCGCATCCCCATCTGCCACATCATTTGCATCACCTGCATCGTCAAAGTTCATCGCCAGCGCCAAATGAATCAAATATTGAGACCGAAGAAGAAGATTTAGCGCACAAAATCGGTTCGGAGAGTGAGGAAGAGGCTCCATTTGCATTTAGAAGAAAACAAGGCTGCGATTATTTGAGGGTAGGTGTATTTAAAGCATTAACTCTAGATTTGAGAAAACATTTATTTTTTGTTTTATTTTCCTATTATAGACGAGAACCCATACCGGCAATTGGCCCTGGGAACCTAAGGAGGATTATGGCTTTGGTGACTCTAAATATCGTTACACACTCACTTCTATTAGGCATCCAAGGTTAGTAGAAGTTATAAACCATTTATTTTAGCTTGAATTGTTTTATTTGCAGAATAGTTTTTTCCTTTCTCTTAATTTTTAATACTTAACATGTATTTTCTTTCAATTCTCTCTAGACCACGTTGTATTGGCTTTGCTCGAAGACGTATGGGTCGTGGTGGACGTGTACTGCTCGATCGTGTGGCAACGAATTTTGATGATTTCTGGTCACAACTCGACTACACAGTTCTAGAGACGAAAACAAGCGATCCAACAACCACCACCTCAGATGCAACAACGACTAATAAAGATACAACTAAACCCGCCTCACCACCCACTGTCGTTGATTTACTGCCGCCAGCAAATAGTGCAGCCAATCATATTGCTGGAACACTGGCAGTGTCAACGACCAACAAAACATCTGTAAATAATGCAAATACACCCGCCATAACAATTAAGAAAGAAACCTCTGAAGTCATAGACCATCATCGTAATCATAACAAGGCAGTGGACGCAGAAGAACTGCTGAACAAAGAAAAACTTGAAGATTCGGATGACCTGGAAGAATGTGATTATGAATACTCAGAGGATGAAAATGATTTGGAAGACGAATTTGGTGTACACATACAACGTGATAGAAGTTATCACTCGTGTGTCTCCATGGCAAGAAAACGTCGACGCCGAAGAAGACAACAACTACAGCAAATGGAGAAGACAAAACGCCGTAAAATCAATTCAACCATACAACAGAAAAATATGGAATTGGTTACTCGCAAATTGTTGTACAAGTTGTCACAATCCTTGGCCGGAGCAGAGGGTGTTAGTCCAAATGAACGTGTAAATAATTTGTTAAACCATACAGCTGTCGCCCTCAGCACAGAAATAAAACAAGAAAAGGTTAATGGTTTAAATAAAGAAGATCAATGTTTGATCAACGCCCCTAGCAATTGGCCAAATCATCGTTGTTCTTCTACTGTCGCCACAGCAGATAACAATAAACTGATTAACAATAACAATTCCTCATACGTCTCTTCATTTTCCTCCTCAACGGCGGCGACGATGGCATCAGCGTGTGCGAATGTTATTGTGGGCAACATTAACAACAATAATATTAGTAGTAATGTTAATAAGAACATTAGTAATGGTAGTAGAAGTAGTAGTTGTAGTTTAAGTGACAAAACTAATGTGATAAAAACCGAAGTTCATGATGTAGATAACGATGAAACAACAAACATCAACCGGCCGTCTTCTGCGGCTACTGGAGCTGGAGCAGACTCGGTGACTAGGATTATAAAGCAAGAACTAATAGATTCTTCAGCAGCCTCCCTGGGTTCGGCAGACGATTCGAATGAGCCTTTGAGTAGTATACAGAAATTAAGCACTACTACGGCAGCCGATATAATGGAGGATGAAGAGAATGTTAATTTGGCTGAATTAAGTAATCTTATAAAGATTAAGAAAGAGGTGGTCGACGAGGCAGACAGGGAGCTAATGAGAAAAAGTAGTCGACACCTGCAAACATCGTCTAGACCAGGTAGTGATGATGATGATGAGGTATCTTGCTTTAATCAAATGGCCGACGTTATTAGAGTGAAAAACTTGAAGAAGCATAGATCGACACCCTGTTCTAATAGTGAGGCACTGAAGGGAGTTAATGTTTTGATCGCAGACAACGATGATGAATTGTCTATGCTGGGCGGTCTATCACCTACTTCATCACAACGTTTGGATATTTGCAATGAACTTTTGTCGGAAATACGACGAGATTGGTTGCACTTTCGTCCTAAAACTCCCACAGAAACCGAAAAGGAGGAGGAGAGCTATTGGGGCTTAAATATGGATTACAAGCTAAGCTCTCCTCTAGTAGAATGGTCACAACACACTCCTATAGCTGTAGAAATGGTTAGAGAACCATTAGAGAATGAGGATGAAATCCACAAGTCTTCGGCGTCCCGGTTGTGGAAAACGGATTCGGATGATGCCAATTCAGCATTTATTAGTTCAGCCTTTAAGTATGATGATTTAGAAGCCGATACCCAATTGTTACAAAACTCCTATTTGTCCGACTTGACGCGGGGCAGTAGTAAAAGTCCGGAAACAAATAATAGTGCGGCTTGTTTGGATCTGAATTTCAGCGGTGATTCATTGAATGATATTAATCTTCTTGGTGATGGTGATGATGCGGATATGTTGGACAATATCTTGCAAGAAGTACAAATCGATGATATTAAGACTCTAAATCAGGCCACCAACTTTTGGAATGGAATTTTGGACGGTGAGAATGTAGACGCCGAAGTAGATGGCGATGTTGAAGTGGCAGCGGGGCTGCTCGACGGCATCGATGACACGAAAAAAGGCGATAGATCTATGGGTGAAAAGAAGGTAGCCAAATTAAAAGGTGGCAAGAAATCTTGTGCTCTTTTAGCTCCCGTAGGTAGTTCCACATTCAATTGTTCTCCCTTAGAAAAAGAAAATGTTACCGATGAAACGTTCTTTAAGAAAGAAGAACCCAAAAAAGAGCCCGAAGAAGTTGAGCCTGAAGTAGCTATAAAATCTGAACCCATGGAGGTAACAGAAACAAAAACCAATGTTGCTATAGGTGTTGTTAATAATCCACGTGTAACAAATGTGCAACAACCGCAGTTGGCGCCATTGGCACCGCTGATAATGACTTCGTCCGTTAATACAGTTAATTTGAATTCGCATCGTGAATTAATGCAGGTGGATCAACAACAGCAACAACACAACGCCACTACCACCAATACACCAATGATTATTACACAAACAATGCAACAGCAGCAACAACATGTACATCAACCTCAAATCCAACAACAACAGCAGCATCAACAACAACAACAACATTTAATTGCTCATTCCACACCAGTACAAGTAATTGGTAATACGATTTCATTGAATCAAAATGAATCTTTGGTTGTACAGCAAAATCAACAACAACAACAACAACAGCAACATCATCAGCTGCAAACAACAACGACAACAAATCATCCTGCTGCTGTTTCACATGCCGCGCAACCACAACAACCGCAGCAACAATTAACCACAATCCAAGTGTTGCAACAACAACCAAACACCCAACAAATACGAAATGTAACCGTACAACAACTCCATCAATTGCAGCTGCAACAGCAACAACAGCGTAAATTGCAACTACAACAGCAACAACAAAAACTGCTCTTGCAAAGAGATCTGGTCAATACATCCGCCGCCCCAGTTATAGCCCAATACGTCCCAACATCATCAGCTACCACAGCAGCAACAATAATGCGCCATCCCACACTAACCCCCATCGGTGCATCATCTGTCAATAACGCTGGTGGACAAATGATTTATACAACATCATCTGGCGATGTTATTACAGCCGGTTCACAAAAGATCTACCTACAAAAAGCTCCCGTATCCGTTACTTCAGGCACTCAGGGTGTTAATATCATTAATACAAGTAGTGGTCAACAATTAACAGTACAAAATATTGCCGGTGTTCAACACATAAGTTCGGCAACGGGTGGCAATGGTTCGACATCGACGGGTCCCTTAATCGTTACGACATCAGCTCGCAATGCCGTTCAGCAGCTGTCGCAACAACAACAGCAACAACTGGTCGGTCAGGCGACACAACAAATTGTTTGGCGTCAAATAGGTTCGACAAATGTAACGACCAATCCTGCCGGTATGTTGACGGGCACCGCAAATACTGATGGTACGGTTGCGGGAACTGGCAATAAAATAGTCTGGACAAGTCGTCCGGCTCAGAAGAGGCAGCTAAATGGTCCCGAGAGCACAGGTGAGTTGAATTTAAATGAGAAAACACATTAAAAGTTCTTGTTCAGTGCTAGTTCAGTTCTAGTTCAGTTCTAGTTCAGTTCTAGTTCAGTTCTAGTTCAGTTCTAGTTCAGTTCTAGTTCAGTTCTAGTTCAGTTCTAGTTCAGTTCTAGTTCAGTTCTAGTTCAGTTCTAGTACAGTTCTAGTTCAGTTCTAGTTCAGTTCTAGTTCAGTTCTAGTTCAGTTCTAGTTCAGTTCTAGTTCAGTTCTAGTTCAGTTCTAGTTCAGTTCTAGTTCAGTTCTAGTTCAGTTCTAGTTCAGTTCTAGTTCAGTTCTAGTTCAGTTCTAGTTCAGTTCTAGTTCAGTTCTACTTCAGTTCTAGTTCAGTTCTAGTTCAGTTCTAGTTCAGTTCTAGTTCAGTTCTAGTTCAGTTCTAGTTCAGTTCTAGTTCAGTTCTAGTTTAGTTCTATTTCAGTTCTAGTTCAGTTCTAGTTCAGTTCTAGTTCAGTTCTAGTTCAGTTCTAGTTCAGTTCTAGTTCAGTTCTAGTTCAGTTCTAGTTCAGTTCTAGTTCAGTTCTAGTTCAGTTCTAGTTCAGTTCTAGTTCAGTTCTAGTTCAGTTCTACTGCAGTTCTAGTTCAGTTCGAGTATACTTGGTGAAGTTACTGTTTTTTATTTCTATACTATTTTTTGTGAGAAATGAGTATATTTTTTCAAATTTTTTTTAAGATTAGTACATCATAAGTAGCTACTCCTTACAATTGAATATAAATAAGAATCTTTTATTGCAAAATATAACATTTATGCTAATATGTTTTTTTCTTTCTTTTCATTTCTTCCTAAATTCTGCTTATTCAACAAAAAAGACATCAACAAGTTGCTATTAAATCGTAAATTTTCACAACGAAAAATTGTACAACAACAACCGCAATTGTTGCAACAGCAACAACAAACACAAGATGATGATTTGTCCGGTGTTAATGTAACAATAAGTGGCCAGGACACAACAACAACAACGGCTGTAACTTATAACACACAACATCAACAGCACCACCAACAGCAGCAACAACAACAGCAAATACAAAAATTACCTGGTGGAAAAGTTATTAAAATGCCCTCCTTTCCTCTACTAGTCTCAGAAGTAAATCTACAGCAACATCAACAACAGCAGCAACAACAACAGCAGCTGCAGCAAAAGCATAATACAGCTGCTGCCATAGCAGCTAATCATAATTACAGTTTACAACCAACGGCGGCCATAATAACATCGCAAGCCTCACAACAGGGCAATAAAATATATTTAACCACAAGTTCTAGTGGAGGAGCTGCGACAAATTTTACAATTACAAATGCTTCAGAATTGCAGACGGCAGCACAAAAGCTCCAACAAACAAATAACTCAAATTTGAAATTAAATTTTGTTGCCACAAATCCTCAACAACAGCAGCAACTGCAACAGCAGGCACAACAACAACAGACAGTGGTATTAAATAAAGCCAACATGCAGCAACAACAACAACTATTGCCACAACAATTGTTACAGCAAACGGGTAAATTGAAGAGAGAGCGAATATTAAATATTATTGGGGCCGCACAAGTGGATAACAATACAAACAGTGCAACCGGGTTGGGCACAGTGACTGCCACTTCGGTGGGATCCAATACGGGTGATAACAACAAAAGGGTATTGTATACCAGCTTGTTGAATGTAAAACCCTTGCAGAAGAATAACGCTGGCCAAATGCAGGTACAAATTGGTCCTCAAGGTATGACACATGCTGTTTTACGTAGTCGCATTGCCAACAATCAAGCCATATTCGCCAATATGCGAACAGTGCCTGTAGCTACCGTCTCAGCGGCAAGTAATAACAGCCACAATAATACAACATCCGCGGGAGCTGGAACCACCACATTGCAAGTTGTCTCACAGTCCACGCAACTCAATGCAAATCAAATCACCTCCACCACTAGCAACCCCCTGGGAGCCACGCTAAATGCTTTAAGTAATAATAATAATAACAGCGATGGTTCTATGCATATGCAGCAGCAGCAGCACTCATCTTCATCCCTGGGAGGGGACATCAACTCATCAACCACCTCTCTAACAAACATTAGTCATTCTGTGAGCGATCTTAAATCCGCCAACAATGTTTTAAATATGGATAATGCTTCTACAGTCGTTAGCAGTTTAAATAATGCAAATAGTACAGCAACGGTAAATAGTAGCTCTTCAGCAAATGGTTCTTCCGCCAACAACACAACGACTTTAATGGCCAATACAAATAATATACAAAACACAAACAACAACAACAACAATAGCAACACCACGACAATCAATAGGTGAGACGAGGCAAGATAACTACCATTTAGGGTCTTCAAAACAATGGATATTCAACAAATAATCAATGTAAATATCAAAGATGTGGCGAAAACTTTGTTAAAACTTAATAAAAGTCGCCCCAACAACGATGATGATGATGATGATGAAGATGATGAAGAAGATAAAGTAGATGAAAAAGGAGATGTGAAAAAGAACAACAAACACAATAACAAGAAAAGTTTCACAAATTTAGAGCAATTATTTGCTGCTGTTTGAACTATTTGAAGAGAGACAATAAAGATAATATACTTTTTGTGTACGTACTACAACAATAATAACAACAACAACAACAACAACAACAACATCTACAAAATACCATTCCACAATGAATACAGTTTTAAATTTGAAAATAAGAAAAACAACAGCTAGTTTAGAGAAAAAATATGAAAAGAAAACAAATGCTGTAAACAATTTACAAAATGGCTGGTTTTTCTTAGATTTTTTTTAAATTAAAATATTTAAAACAGATTTCTGGGTAAATTACAAAAAAACACACACACACATCCTTAAAACAAAACGCTTTTTTATTTATAATTAAAGTAATTTAAAAAAAAATAGTTGTGAGCTTAACGGTTTACTTTTCAAATAACAACAAAAAAAAAACTTAAAATTATTGAAAATAACTGTTAAGGAGAGTTTGAAAAATGTAGTGTTTTTAAGCGATTTTTATGAGATTTTTCTTTCAAATTTATTAAAAGAAGTTGTTAGTTTCTAAATGGTTTGGGAAGCACTTTTAACTCTACTGCTTAAGTTTTCAGTCTGGACTAAGCAGCTGTCTTTTAAATTACAGAATTTAGGTTTAAGTTATTTGCTTAAACTTAGTTTAAAGACGGCTTTTAGTGCTTTTAAACAGTTGCCAAATTAAGTCTGATATCTGATCGTAAAAGCTTTCGTTTAGATCATTTTCGAAATTAAGCTTAAATGTAACATTTGTCGTTCGATTATCGTATGCTTCTGTTTGAAATGGAACATTTACTAGAACCTTGTATTGTATATAAAGAAAATTTTGTATTTTCACGCTTTCAATAACATTTTTTTTTAGCAAATTTCAGAAAACTTTATGGAAAAAAACAACATAAATATGAAGTTATTAAAAAAAGATTAAACAGTTGGTTTTAAAGTTTAAAAATTGGTAAAAATTTATAAAAAAAACAACTTTATTATGAAGTAAATAAAATGGTTTGTTTAACTGTTTGAAAATTTTGTACAAAATTGAAATTTTTTTATGATTTTGAAAAAATCGTTTTTAAAACACTCTCCTAACTTTCCTTAAACACATTTTTAAATATTTTTTTTTTAATTTCCACAAAAATTTCATACATTTACACTATTACAAACCACACACTCACTCACTCACTCACACGCAATAAACAAAACAAACAAAAAGATTCAAAACAAACTGAAAAAAAAACTGAATAGTTCTTATGAGACCAGATTTTTGTTAGCATTGTATGATAAAACTAAAAAAAACTAAAAACAACAACAACAAACAAAACTTTAGTATATAAAAAAACAAATTAGATTTTCTTTGTAATATTTAATTTTTATCATTTAATGTTAAAAAATGGAAAATTAAACAAAAAAAAAAAAAACACACTATAATACTATTAAATAAATAAAAAAAAACAACTCCCTATATAAATATATAATAAATTAAAACACACAAAAAACAACAACTTACATTTATGCTTAAACAAAATGTATAAAATTATAATAATTAGTTATAAATAATATTGATAATAATAATAATAATATATGAAGTAAAAAAAAATTAACTTAAAAACAAAACAAAACTCTCCTCCTACTACTACTCTTCATCTCTTTTACAAAAGCAAAAGTAAGAAAGAAAAAAAAAACACAATTTTTTCCTTGTCTTTAAAATGTTAAAAAAGGAAAAACCTAAAACAACATAAACAATTTTTTTTTTATATTGTTATCATCTTAAAACAAAAAAAAAAGGATCTTATTTTCAAGATCTCTAAATTTTTTTTATTTAAATTCTTTTTTTTTTTATTATTATTATAATTTTTTTAATTTAATTTTCTTTTTCTTTAAAAAAAAAGTAAATACTTTAATAATGTTTATAATCCCAGCTGTTTTTCTTTACATTTTTTTTGTTCTTATTTTTTGTTTTCTTAACGCTTTACCTCTTAGTATTGCCGTTAATTTTATACTTTTAATTTGAACAAAAAAACAAAAAAAATATCTCAAACATAAACTTTATATTAAAAATTTTTTTTTATAAAAATATATATATAATAATAATAATAAATCTTATGATTATTAATGTACATAGTTAGTTTTAATATTAAATAATAATAAATAAAACAAAACCAACAATTAAGTTTAATTTTACATTTAATTAAAAAAAAAAACAAAACAAAACGATAAAAGTATGTATTAAATAATTAATAAAAAAAAAATACAGCTACAAAACATTAAAAAAAAAACTTTTTAAAAAAACACTGAAAATACACAGTTTTTTTGTGATTCTTTTTTATTTTAATTTTAGCACCAAAATTATTATTATTTTTATAAATTTGTTTTGGTTTAACTTATAACAAGTAAAATTTTGCTTATTCTAGCAGTGTTCGTTAAGAATTTTGAAAAAAAAACCTAAATTATATTTAACTGGCTGTTAAGAATGTATTGAACAAAATTCATTAAAAAGCTAGTTTTCTTTTTTTTTTTTATATATAAAAAAAATAAAAATTTTAATCGTTTCCGGAATACTATATGCAAAAATACGTGTTTCTTTATTTTAAAAATTTTCAATTCCCAGGGAAAAATGTAACAGTTTCTAGTTTCTATTCGTTCTAATTTAACGAAATTTACATCTTAGGAACAGGTTCCATGAAAGTGTTTTGGAATCGATACTAGTTTTATGAAATAGTATTATCGAAAAAGTTATTCTGTAACTTTTAAACGGCAAAGAGGAAATGTTATCATGGGTTCACCAGGGGCGCGGTCGAAGGTCCCTGAAAAACAATCCTATTTCCATGTTTTTATTCATGTAAAGAATCTCCTTCTCGAGCCCTATAAAAAACACATGATCCTGTTATTTATCTGTCATTCAAAGTTGAAATTTGATTTTCAGAATTTCTTCCCATCCTACTTCAGTTTTTTGATAACAGTGAGTATTATACCACTATAGTGGGGAGGGTATTTGTGCTGATGTTTGCAACATCCAAAAATATTAGTCCTACCAATCGTCTCGGAAACACTTTTTGAGTCGATTGAACTATGACCTTCTGTCCGTACGTTTGTGTGTCCATACAAACCTTGTATGCACGCTACAGGTCGCAGTTTTTAAGATAATTTGATAAAAGGACGAAGCCTATCACCTAGTTCCCATACAACTGCACCCTCCCAAATGGTACTCTTGAGCTCGTAATTATGCTAAATGTTCTAGTATCTGTACAAAAATCGGCACATCCAGGAAAAATTGTATTAGTTCCACAGATTATAGACGGTATTCGTTCTATTTTGGCGTTGAGACCAATGATTTTTGTTCGAAATTGTCACATTCAGAACTGGTTCTGTGGAAGCGTTATGAAGTCGACACTCGTTCTATGGAACAAAGTTGCAATTCAGTTTTGTATAAGCCTAAATGTTACTGCCAATTTTCGTAATGATCGGGCCTCATTTCACCCAAGCTTCCATACAAAGTGCCCTTTAGAAAAGGACTTGAAAGACAAGCATCCCTATTCTGCATTTCAATTACATTTCCGCATTCAGTTACACTACGATCGAAAATTGGTATTCCAAAAAAAAAAAAAAAAAAAAAACGGAATCATAAGAAAAAGAAGCTTCGAATCGAAATGCAGAATACCAAGGTTGCCAAACGGAGAAAAATTTCGATTAGAACTGAAAGGCAGTATAGGGGTGAATAATTCACTTATAAACACTAGTATCACGATAAAATTCTGCATAAATGACTTTAATGTAAACGTAAATCCCTCTGGTATAGGGTATTATATGGTCGGCCATGACCGATTTTACATTCACCCCTTCATTCAGCATTTCAATTCGAATTGAAATTTTCTCCGTTTGACGACTTTGCAGAATACATACACACAATCGTAAAGCATTGAAATAAAATGGAATTTTTACTTCTTCGTTTTCTTACAATTTGGGTTTTTTGTACAAACACCTATTTTCGATCATAGGGTAACTGCCACGACAATCGTTACCTCGCACCGGAAAAACTCGAAGCTCAACGACCAAGGATTGTCAACTCAACAACACCGACGACTTTACACGTGTCACTGTTACAACAACACCTGATTGAGAATTTGGCTTCATTCGGTTTTTGTTGTTGGTCATTGCTTCGAAAATGAATTATTGGGAATATTTAGGTCTAATATCGCGACCGAATTAGTCTAATCTAAAGTTTAGTCTATGGTGTAGTGTATAGTCAAGTCTATAGTCTAGTCTATAGTTTAGTCTATAGTCTAGTCTATAGTCTAGTCTATAGTCTAGTCTATAGTCTAGTCTATAGTCTAGTCTATAGTCTAGTCTATAGTCTAGTCAATAGTGTAGTCAATACCCTAGTCTAGTCTATTATCTAGTCTATAGTTTATAGTCTAGTCTATAGTCAACTCTATAGTCTAGTCTATAGTTTATTCTATAGTCTAGTCAATAGTCTAGTCAAGTCTATAGTCTAGTCTATTATCTAGTCTATAGTCAAGTCTATAGTCTAGCCTATAGTCAAGTCTATTGTCTAGCCTATAGTCTTGTCTATAGTCAAGTCTATAGCCTAGTCTATAGTTTATTCTATAGTCTAGTCTAAAGCCTAGTCTATAATCAAGTCTAGTATATAGTCTAGTCTAAAGTATAGTCTAGTTTATAGTCTAGTCTATAGTCTAGTTTATAGTTTAGTATAGTTTATAGTCTAGTCTATAGTCCAGTCTATAGTCCAGTCTATAGTCTAGTCTATATTCTAGTCTATAGTCTAGTCTGTAATCAAGTCTATAGTCTAATCTATAATGTGGTCGATAGCCTAGTCTATAATA